TTTTGAGACAGAGTCTCACTATATAGTTCCGACTGCTGTGGAACTCAGCTCTGTAGCCCAGGCTGGTCTTGAACTCACAGTGATCCTCCTGCCTCAGCCTCCCGAGTGCTGGGATACAAGTGTGTGCCACCACATCCGGCTATTTCAGGCTTCAAGGTCTATATGAGGTCTGTTGTAATGATGCCCTCAACTCTGCTGTAATAGTTGTAAAGCAAAACTGTCATGGTCAACATATAAACAAATAGGTGTCATCATAGTGGAAATTTAATAAAATAATTCATAAAGCATCACTCCTTGACATTGGAATTTGGATCTTAAGTAATTCTTCATGTTATGAGCCCCTTACTTTTATTTATTTATTTATTTATTTATTTATTGAGACAGGATCCTGCTACACAGTTCACTCTGGCTTTGAACTCAGAGCACTCTTGTCTCAGCCTCCCAAGTGCTGGGACTTCTGGCATGCGCTGCCAGGCCTGGCTCTTACTTTTGTCTTATACTTTGACTTTTCCCCACCCATTACAACATAGAAAATCCATTCTCTGGCTTATACTTGCTGACTTCTGATATACTGGGAATCACCACTTCTGGAATAATTGTTTAGCTAAGGTTGAGAAATGAGAGCTGACGATGTAGCTCAGCAGCAGAGCAGTTGCTTAGCATGCAAGAGGTCCTGGGTTTAGTCTCCAGTGCAAAAGGTTACGGAATTTTGAAAGCTATTATTATTATTATTTATTAATTATTTGTAACACCAGGGATCAAACTCAGGATCTTGCACTTGCAAGAAAAGCACAGCACCACTGAGCTAAATCCCCAGCTCCCAAAAAATTATTAGTAGTGACTGTCAGCCAGTGCACGTCTGTAATCCCAGCACTCAGGAGGTTGAGGCAGGGGGATTGTCACGAGTTCGAGGCCAGCCCCCCACAAAAAGTAGGAATTGTGCTGCCTGTCAGTTGCTCACTTTTCAATGAATAGCTTTTATTGTTTTTCTTTTTCATATGTTTGTTCTGTATACATTTATTGAAATGTGATTTTTATGTGATTACTCTGATAACTGAAACTGTGGGCCTGAGCTGGGTGGAGTGGTGCATCCCTGTAATCCCAGCACTCGGGAGGTTGAAGCAGGATGATTCCAAGTTCAAGCCCATCCTGGGTAATTTGATGACTTAGATCCTGTCTCAAAATAAAATAAAAAACAAAAAACCAGGGATGTAGCTCAGTGAAAAGGCTCTGGTTTTAACCCCCAGTACTGGCAGGGGGAAAAAATGACCTGGATTCTCTATGTTGTGGTTTCATTTTTCTACTTTTTATTTTCTTTTACAGAAGTTGGTCCATGACAGATTAGAGATGTAAACTGGTTTTTGGCCACAGCTAGTTTGGGAACCACTGGTTAAGAAGTGCGTGCATCCAAAGGGGATCCTCAAAGTGCCATGAGCGGGTGCTGAGGGTGAAAGGTTCAGGACAGCAGGAGCAAAAGGCTTGGGTGTTCATTCAACACAGGCAGAGGACTCTAAAGGCGCTCACCATCCTGGAGCTGCACATGGTGGGCAGTTCCTCCCTAGTGGGGCATATGCTTCAACTGAGGAGACAGAATGCTCCTTCGGGTGTTCTTTTGGCCAGGGTCTGGTTCCTCTTTCCCTCCCCTCAAGAGTCACGGAAAGGACCCTGGGTTATGTTTCTGTCAACAGCCCACTGGCTGTCCTTGAGTGAGTCGATGCTTATCTGTAAAATGGGGTTCCCTCTCAGGCCTTGAGCCCCTCATCTATATATTGGAGCTGAGAGCCAGGCTTGGCTACATAGACCTGTAATACAGCACTCTAGGAGGCTGAGGCAGGAGGATCATAAATTCAAGCCCAGCCTGGACAAATTAGTGACTTAGCAAGACCCTGTCTCAAAATATAAAATAAAATAGGGCTGAGGACATAGCACCGTGCATAGGTCCTGGGCTTAATCCTTGGTACCACAACATAAACAAATGAGATGGGGTGAGGTAGTGGATTCCAAAACATGGCCTGGGTTCAGTGTTTAGCACAGGCCTGATGACAGCCTTGTAGGAGTTTGACAAATAGTTGCTACTATGAGCTCAGCTTTCAGGATTCTCAAAAATTTTATTTCTTTTAGCTCAGTGGTTGCACCACCTGCCTTACAAGCACAAGGACCCAAGTTCGATCCCCAGTACCAAAAAAAAAAAAAAAAAAAAAAAAAAAAAAATCAATTTCTTGGTTCCTGAGATTCTGTGGTACTCTGATTTTCCAAAAATTCAAAATGATCTGTCCTTGACGTTCTTTGGCTCCAAGTGTCTTCGATCACTGAGGCTGTCTCCCGGAGGCCCTACTTGCCATGCCCTCTGCTCCCTGATCCTCTCAATCTCTCCTGGGAAGTAGGGCAGTGGGGGAGGGGCAGGCCACCGCATCCTCACGGCCCACATTCAGGGCTGGCTGTGGCAGCCCGGGGCCCCAGAGCCAGGCTGCAATCAGGATAGCAGCCTCCAGGCCCCAGGCCTGCGTCATTTATGAGTGTCCTTGTTCAGGGCCACCAGGTATTGGGGCTGTCTTTCTAGGCAGACAGGGCTCCCTGAATCTGCAGGACTAGGAGTAGGGGAAGTTGAAACCCCTCTTCCTGCCTGAGCTTTGTCCCCAGTGTGTCAGGACCTTGGACAAGTCTAGGAGCATCAGGGCATGGGACTGTCCCAGGTCCAGGTCGGTGGTGCTTGACATCTTTCGCTCCCAGGGTCAGACCTTTTCCCACCTTTATGGAAGGGGCTGGGCCAGGAGTGGTGGAACAAGAGAGTAGTTGCCCTTGCTGGAATTAACTATCCTTTTATTAGCACAAAATAACGTCAACCCAGTTGCCCCAAGGCCGGAGAATAAGTTAAGGCACATAGCAGGTGAAGGACAGCGCTCTCAGCTGGGGCCTGCATGCCCCAAACTTCCTGAGCAAACTCCCGAAAGGCCTGGGCATTGCAACACTCCTGGAGGGCCTTCTACCTCGAGATGGGGCGAGTGGAATGGATCTTGGGTCCGAGGAGCGCCCCATGGACGCGAGGCAGTGTCCTGGGGCTTGAATCGCAGGTGTCTGGCGGTCTGCCCGCAGCTTACTTCTCGAAGTAGGGCAGGTAGAAAAACTGGAAGCCCTGGTGGCCCTTGACTGCGCAGTAGATGAAGATCACGTGGTAGACTGTGGGGGCGGAGCCTGTCAGCACGGAAGCGGCCCCTCCCCCGTCCCGCCCCCTCTCCACCCTCTTAGCTGCCTGTACCTCCGGGGATCAGCAACAGGAAGCCCGGCACGAAGAAGATGGCGCTGGAGACACCTGCTGGAGGGAGACGTGGTGGCTCAGGTTGGGAGGCCACAGCACCGCGCGTGCCAACTGCCTGGGCAAGCCTCCCTCTCCGCTGAAAAAGGGGTGCATTTCTTCTGGGAGGTGGCTGGGCTTGTCCAGGACCCATGGGCACAGGTGGGGGGTGCTCACCTGGAGAGGGGGCCACCTCCAGTCCCACGCCGACCATGATCAGCACTGCACACAGATGGGGTGGCGGGGTGGGGAGGCGGGGGTGAGGACTGGGCCTTCCACTCCCAACCCCCGGACCAGGCCTGAGGAATGGTGTCCCCCACCTCAGGTGAAAAGCCCCTGGGCAGAGACCCGCCCCAGAAGGTCACCAAGCTCTGTTTTCAGAGCAGGACATTTGCAGACCCTAAGAAATGCCTGTGAAATGAGAGATTTTTGCTCCTTGCTATGGGCCTAAGTCATTCAGTAAACACTTATGGAACACCTCCTGCACGACTAGGAATTCCACTGTGAAAGACAGAATACCTAGCACTCGTGGCTCTGCCTTAGGAGAAGGACCACCAACAACCTGAGGACTATAACCCAGGTGATCAGGATATGTGGGGAAGGCAGGGTGGTGTGGAAGCTGGGAGGTGCTGCCCCAGTCAGCATGGAGGGCCAGGGAGAAGCTTCATTCATGAGGGCAGTGAGAGAAAGGACAGCAGCAGCCATAGCAATCAGAGTTGATACTGACCACTTTTCCAGGCACTGCCAGGCAGTAGGCTAAGTATCTTACATACACTGTCACATTAGCCACTTTGACAGGAGACAGGTGTAAAAGGAAACTGAGGGCTGGGAATTTAGCTCAGTGGTTCTGCCACCTGCCTCACAAGTGCAAGGTCCTGAGTTCAATCCCCGGTACCAAAAAACAAAAAAGGAAAAAGGAAATAGGCACAAGGCTATCTGACTCTAGAGACTCTGCTGTAGACATCATCAGGCAGACAGAATAAACCCATGGCAAAGGCATGGAGACTGGAGAGAACTGGGCCTTTCCAAAAGCTTCCAGCACTGGTTATACTGGACAGGAAGAGCTCAGGCTGCAGGAATCTGGTAGGGCCTGGATCCCCAGGCTAGGATAGCTGATGTCAGGGAAGCTGAAGAGGTCAGGCAGGATCTGCTTTGCAGATTCAGACTCCTGGGTTCACCATTAGAAGAGGAATGGGGCGGGGGTGAGTAGGGGGAGTGCAGCAAGGGGAGTGGTACTGCCCGGGGGACTGAAGGGCCACCATGGGCTGCTGTGTGCTTTGTGTACAGCACAGAGCACCTCAGAAAGGGACACAACTTCACTCCCTGAACCCTGACTAGGGCTGTGGGCTCTGCTCTCAGAAGAGGCATCTTTAATTCCTACAAAGGCCCTTACATAGTTATGGATATGCGTTTAAATCACAGCTCATCCACTTCCCAGCAGCAGCTTGAGCAGGCCCCTCCATCAGCACAAGCCTTCTGCCCTGACTGCTGAAGCTGGGGTGATACCACCTTGCCGGGCTGAAGAGAAGCCAGTGGCTAGTGGCTTGGCATGCAGTGGTACTGGGAAGTGGGGACCTCCCCCCAACACACACACACCTGGAGCTGGGCTTTCTGGCCTAGAGGGCCTGGCTGGCGACAGGGCTTTGACTTTCCTGGAGATGGGAGGAATGGGAGCCAGAGCAGAATCACAGCTAGTCCTTCCTTACAAACCCCTCTTTAGCACAATCCTAGACCCTTTCTGGGGACCCTGCCTCCTGTTCCATAGAATGACAAGCTTGGCAGTCAGAAACATCTGGCTGTGAGACTGGCCTGCTCTAGACCTCAGTATTCCCATCTGAGCAATGGAGGGAGATCCTGGTCAGCAGTCAGATTCCGGAGAAGGGCAAGTGACTGGCCTCTGGATGGGGCTGGCAGGCACTTATCATCTCTGGCCACGGGGACACCACATCCCTGAGCACCTGGCTCTCTACACAGGTTCTAGGCCCTCCCTCTCATTTAGTGAGTGACATCTGTAAGGCCAAAGCAGACAGAGAATAGCAGTTAGTCTTCAGTCCCCTGACGGATTCAACATATTAAGCTTTGAAGAAAGTCTTTAGAGCACTGATGTAGGTTCCATTTCTGTTCTGTGTGATTTCCTGGCTGGGTGACCAGAAGCCTGGGCTTGCACCTCTCAGGGCCTCAGTTCCTTCCTATACTGTGGGGATGCTGAGAGGTCCACTGCACCAAGGGGAAACAGCCTACACAGAGGGAGGGACAGGGAGTCAGGACCCTCAGGGTACTCACCCAGCCCCAGCAGCAGGAGCAGGAAGGAGGCCAGCACCACCCGGCAGTTCTTCTGGATTAGAGGGTGTTGGGTCCAGCTAGGTGGCAGGAGAGCAGGATGAGTGTGAGAAAAGTGAAGGGCAGGGGTGGGTGAAGAGCCATGGCTGATTGGCCAATAGTACTTGGAGTTTGGGACTCATTCTAAGAGGGTCTCACCTGCAGCAGGCATTGTAGGAGCGCTGGGTGGTGCTGCTGATGGTACTAAAAGACCACTGGGAGCTGCGGATGGATGTTCGGCCAGAATCCCTGCAGGACAAGGCCTGGTGAAGGGCAGGAGGAAGCTAGGAAGGGAATCCCTTTGGGACAGGAGTCCTGAAGAAGTGTGTATGTGGGTGGGTACAGGGTCTAGGGTTGGCCCCCAAAGGACTGAGGCGGGACAGAGGCTCTGAGAGGGGACAGGTGTGAAGATGAACTCAAAGGCTGGGGTGTTCAACAAGATTAGGGGTGGAGGAAGACTAGGGTGAAAGCTAGGGGTTCCTGCAGCATAGATGACGCATAGGGAGGTGAAGGGGTGAGGGGAAGCAGATTAAGGATAAGAAGGTTAAGGGTTCCTACAGCGTTAAGACCTGGGAGGGGTGGGGGGATGAAATTAGGCACTAGGGTAAGGTGACCACACTGGATAGGCGACCCCATGATGGAAGTAGGGCTCGGAGTCATTATATGAGGGAACATAGGAGAGCTGAGAGTACTGGGGTCATGCTCTGGTAGGACCCTGTGGACAGCAGCTAAAGGCATGGAGGTCAGGGGACAGGATGGGTCCCCACCTGGTCCTAACCTGGTGCTGACTCCCCCATCTGGTTCCGGAGAAGGCTGGGCTAAATCTTCATCGTTCTGCAGATTCTGTTCCAGAACACAGGGTTCAGAGGGGTGGCTGGGCTCAGGCCCTTCCTCCCTCTCCCCTTGGGGAGAGAAGAAAAGCTGCCCTGACAGCTGTTTCCCTGGCCACCTGGGCCTCCACCCTTCCAGAAGAACGGGTTAGATGATTCACAGAAACCGAAACCCAGGCAGGAGGTGGGTGGATGGTGGGGGTGCTGGAGAGTAGGGGTCAGAAGGGGTCCAATTGAGGGTTCCCTGCATGGGTTCGAGGGTCAAGCGACCTCTAAAGTTCTAAGGATGACATTTCAAGGCAGCTCTGGATTGGGGGGTAGGAAAGGGCCCAGGGTTCCCAGGTTTAGGGCACAGGAATCTGGCCTGGGTCCCCAAGAAAAGGGTTCTAGGAATGAGGGAGGCTCTCTGAGAAAGTGAGAATTTCCTGTTCAGTGGGAGTCAAGGGATGTGAACAGAGTCGTCATGTGAGTGCGAGTCTCCAGCTCAGAAAAGATGGGATGGGGACTTCCGGAGAAGAGACGGGGATGCAGGTTCCTAGACACCAGAGAGCTGCTCTGCCTCTGAGCAACATCTGTTTCAGACACAGAGGGGTCAGCCTCCCAACCGGTGTGGGACTCCCGGAGAGCTCTCCACGGTAGTTGGGGGATGAGCGCCGGGCCCCGGCTCTCCGGTGCTGGCTGGGTACCGAAATCAAAGCTGACAGGTTCCGGGCAGGGCTCTGGACCAGGGATCACGTTGAGGGCTGTCTGTCTCCCGCTCCAGCTGGGGCCTCTAGGCAGATTCTCCCCCGAGCTTGGGATCTCCAGGGCCGGCCTGGGGCGGGGTGAGGTGGGCCGGGCCCTTCACCTGATAGCGCAGCCGGGACTGCTTGTCTTCGTCGGCCGCCTCGAATCGGGCCCGGCGCTCGAAGTGCAGCGGCCCGAAGCGGGCGACCCCGCTGGACTCGG